ACAGAAAAAATAAAGAAGGATTTTATAACAGACAGAGTATAAAAAACTCACAAGAAAAGCTACAAAAATAGTAGCAATAAATACAAATAGTTTTTTTTTCAAAACTCATATAGAAATTTATCTTAATAATCAAACAAACGAAAAATGAAAATTATATTAGGATATCATTGATATCTCTAACCAAAAGAAATCACTCACATTATGAATCAATGAAGATAAATATAACAAGTTCGAATAGATAGTGAATATTTTGACTGGACGCTAGTAACTAGTGCGACGTGTCTAATCCTTTCTTTAGTGCACACCGAATTCTATCGATCAGGTTTGCTATGTGGCCACCATTCTAGGTAGCTCGCTATCACGGAGTGACCTAGAATGGTGGCTACATGGCAAACCTGATCGATAGAATTCGGTGTGCACTAAAGAAAGGATTAGACACGTCGCAATAGTTACTAGTGTCCAATCAAAATAACCACTGCATTCCTACAGGAGGTCGATCGCAAGCCCGAACAGCTGAGTGGTAATGACTCTGACTGCAGCACTGGATGACGCAGGTTTGAATCTCAGAAGAGACATGAGTTCCTTCAAGGTGACTGCAGATATGCCTTGCTGACTGATGAGTGCCAACTAGCACGAAACCTAGGTCCAAGACTTCCTGCCGATTGTCTCCGACCACCTAATTCATGGATATATGTATATATTAACAGATGATTTCTGTTTGATGTCACACAAAATCGAAGACTTACAAGTGAAAACCGACAAACTCGTCGAAGAAGCAGCCGGTGAAGACAGGACTCCAAGTGAACATAGACAAGACAGAGGTTATGAAAATAACCAACCAACCAACAACAACAACAGCAGAAACATCCAGCGTCAATCACCATCAACGGGAGGGATTTGAAAGAGGTTAGTTACTTCATTCACTTATCTAGCCAGGGAGCATTGTCTCAACTACAGCCAGTCGGAACGGACGGGGATGTTAAATCTAGCGTGAATCGGGAAGGCAGGCGAGAAACACATTATTCATCAACCTGAAACAAACAATCTGGAAATCTTCGTCACTCAACTCAGCATCAACAACGAAATTCGGCAAGATTTTCAATACAAACAACGTCAAGTCAGTCAGTTCTTCTACACGGATCGGATCAGAAACTTGGCGGGCGGATCACAAAGAATATTTCCAACAGCTTGTTGCATGCCTTTATCAACAACTGTCTTCGCTCTATACTGAAGATCAGATGGCCGAGCCGAAAAGAATCACCAACAAGAAACTATGGGCACTAACAAACAAAACAAAAACCAATCGCCAGCCAACAAATATGCAGGAGAAAGTGGTGATGGATTGGACACTCGCTGAAGAGGCAGCTGGGTGACATCGCGCGTCAAGCCACTTCTCGAGTGGAACCCGTAAGGGAAGCGGCGAGTGGGACGTCCAAAGGTGACATGGAGGAGATGGTGTGAAGAGAGAGGAGTTGAAACAGTATGGACTAACGTGGATAGATGCAGGTGAAAAGTACAGCAGAAGACAGAAACAAGCGATGTGCAGTTGAAGCCCTATGTTCCACTAGGAACCCAAGGGAACAATAATAATAATATTAACAGATTGTAACTAATTTGTTAATTAATTGGTTAATACAGTGAATTGGTTTTTCATTTGCAATGCTTAGAAATTCTTGTCAAATAAAACAATACAAATAAGGCGTTAAAAGTGATTTCAACTTTAGGAAGCACTATCTGTTTACAACATTCTTAATTCTAATTTCTAATTTCAGTCCAACTAGAATCTTTCATGAAAATTGTATACTGTGAATGCATGATTTTATTTTCTACACTAATGGATGAGATTAGATTAACTCTTTACAACTTAGGATAACCTTTGTATCACACATACCACCTACCGTGTTTTTAAATTTAAGTATCAAGACAATTAGCTATAGAATTTCACAACTATTTCATTATTATACCTCTACCTTGTATATCTCTTTATGATTAGATTGTAATAAAATTAGTTGACGGCTTCTTCTCAAGCAATAAAATGTCGCTAAACAGAATGTCTCCACTCTTCTTGTGAATCACATCATAAAATTATACAATCAAAGCGTTAACGTATATTACTACCAACTTCATCCAATATTTTATTGCTAGCAGAATCTAATAATGTAAATGATAAAATCTATTTACAAAGCACCATGTATATTTGCGTATTGTCATTCAAATAGCTATGATCAACAACAACATCGTTTTTGACTACTAGTCATTTTAAGTTCCCCCCAAACACTATCGATTTCCTTCCAGTGAAAGTCCCAAACTTGAGTTCTGGGTGAGGATAAAAGTATTCACAGGGTGTTTTCGCGTATAATATAGGGTGGTGGTTGGTGGGAGGGGGTATAACAAAACTGTCTGTCTGTCTGTGTGGGCAGCCGAGAAGTAACAATCGCCCTCACAATCCGAAATGCACACAATCCGGTATAACAAAACACAGTGAAACACCTTTAAAACGGCTAAAAGTAACACCTCTGATATGACTACAGCATTTTTCTGAACAGGTAATATAAAAAATCATATAAGATCTACCAGATGAGCAAGTTCAAATCGTAACTGACCGCCTTTGTTTTATCTTGTCACGAATGGGGCGTAGTAAAATCGGTTTTAACGATAACACTTATATAATCACACAATGCTTTTTTTTTATCAGTGTACTTAATTCCAAGTCAACTATCTGATTACTTGCTTACTTTATTGAACCGTGCCATGAAAAATAAAAATGATAAACTGACTGCACAGAAAGTGCCTTAAAAAATGTAGAATTTTTGTGCAACCTGTTGTGTGTTTGAATAAGGCGAAAGCGATAAATTTTGCAGAATAAAATGGTATCATCATTTATTTCGTTGGCTTCTCATCATCTGCTTATAGTCCAAAGTCATTATTAAGTATATCAACAGAAACAATTTTAATCATTTTTAATTTGGTCATACAACGCTTAAAAGATGGTAGTCTCCAGAGGTCAATTTACAGAAAGCCTATATGGAAACGACAATATCTACATTTTTATAGTTTTTCTCCAAATAACTATAAACCAGAACTAGGAAAATCTCCGTTCTATACACTCAGCAGAATATCCTCTACACAGAAATTAGGAGAAGAATTTCTGATCTTCCAAAAGATGTTCAAAAACAAACGTTACCCCCAAGATTCATTAACAAGTACGGAAGATTTGAAGGCTCTTAATGTCAAACTAATTACAGTGGGAAACAAGTATATATTCATTCAACTTGATTTTAAGGGTGATACAATTGCAGGAATAATCAATAGAAGATTGGATATGTCGCTAGCCATAGTTTATCCTGCAACTAACTTGGTTCCCAACTGTCAAACAACATGCTCTTTGGTGCAATCTAAAGTCAACAGATACCCTTCTCATGTTAACTCCAAATGTATACACACATTTACATGTATCTGAGGAAGCAGTCACATCGAGAGAACAGAAAGAAGGACACACCTCCGATTTTATGAACACGTAACAAAAGGCCTACATCTCAAGGGAACAAATGCTTTCAACAGTGCCATCACCAGGCATCTGATTCACACGGGTCATTAGGTGGACGTCACAAGATCGTTCGAAATTATCAATAGGCTAAAGAGTTCAATTCTCCTCAAGTTTGTGGAACCAATCTCCATCAGTCACCTGAAACGATATTTGTGTGTTCAGAAAGAGGCTGTTATCAGTCTTTCCATTCCCTGATAACTGCATATTTTCATCCTCTCTCTTTCATTTAATTTGACACCAAAAGTTCCATTTTGTGTGATTATTATTATTACCATTGTATGCATATATTGATGTTTTGTTTAAAAATGAACTCTCTGTGTATGTTGAAACCGTTTTATGTACATAAACTTAATAATGTTGTTGGGCTGTAAGCAGCTGATGAGGAGCCAACGAAATAAATGGATGTTACCATATTATTATGCACATACTGTTGTTTTTGCTTTATAAGGAGAATAAATGTATGGAATTTCTGTTGTGTATTATTTATGCTGAACTACTTCTAATACTAATATAACCAATACTTTATTTTATTTAGTAGATTTTGCTCATCAGTCCGCTCTGTCCTCCTTTATGGCTGACTGGCTGGCTGTGAGGCATGGCCACTGAGAGTGGAAGACATGAAAAGATTAGCTGTCTTTGATCATAGGTATCTGTGTTCTATCTCCCGTGTGAAGTGGTTTAATTAGGTGAGCAATATTGAGGTTAGGCTTCGGTCGAGTGCTGGGTAAGGAGGAGAAATCAATCGATGAGGCTGTGAAGTTACATCGACTGAGGTGGTTAGAACATGTGTTACGTATGACTAGTCATCGCCTTCCTCGACCTATGGGCAATATTAGCTGACATAGGGTCAGGCTAGAAAAGAGCTGTCGGCGGTCAAACCAAAACATGGCTTCATCAGTCAATGGAATCCACAAAAGTTAGTTTAAGCCAGTCAGCCACGTGGGAAGGTGTAGACTTCCCGGTTGCAGTCCTCGGGACAGTAGAAACCAATGGTTGGAAACAATTGGTGACATGGCTCAAAATCGTTCTCAATGGCTAGCGCAGATGCATCCACTCCTTGTGACTTATAATTTCCAATGAAACTATATCGTTCTTCGTTATTACTCTTCCTTTGTCTCACGCTTCTGTTTACTGTCTCCATTATGCATTTCTTCTACTTTCTTCTCTTGCTTCGTGTGCTACATGAAGGGAGTGTGGCGACTTGAACTGGTGCACATATGTGGAAAGTTCTATGTCGAAAACAGACAGACATTTAGTAGATTCAATTTAGGTTAGTGCAATTAGTTATGAAGTCGCATATTGTATGATGTAGAGAATGGGAAGATAATAAAAGATCAGATTTTAATGTGCAGACAAATTAATTGCATTCCTAATAGCTAACCGCTAAGTCAATACGGACTCTTAAAGAATTAAACTAAATTGCGCACGTTGTTGGAAAATATTAAAAACTTACATTTCATCACAGTTTACAACGATCATCCATGCAGCCAGTATAATAGCGGTAGTGACAAATCCATAAAGTAAAACCCAAATTAAAATTTCATATGCGATTGAAGAATTAGTAAATGGAGAAACAGAAAGGAAAATATCATCCGTAATAGCACTAGATTTACTCTGAAAAAGAGAATAAAAGAAGGGGAAATTCGACTAGCTTATAAATAAACCTACTCAGGATGTGAAGTGTATCTTTAACAAAAGACTTAGTACAAAAATGCAGCTGTTTAAATTGTCATACTTCATATAGTACACAAATAAAGTTGGAGAAAAAGATGCACAGAAACCAAAATTAAACGGAAATTAACAGGAAAAAGAATGATTACATGGTGAATAGTGAGGATCTACTGGGTCTGAGAGATCACATACAGTAAAGGTGGTCGCGTCATTCACAATGATTTTGAGTCATGCCACTAATAGTCTACATCCATCCGATCTTAGTGTCTCGATGACTCTAGCCAGACAGCCTGCACTTCACTACTTACTCTAAACAGACAGTCAAAGACTTCGAGGATTGATGTCATATTTTGATCTGACTACCTCTAACTCTTTTACAACCCAAACCTATATTGCTTACCATTGCTTGACGAAGAAAGTGATGGTTTCTTATGCGTAACACGTATCCCCAGTCATCCTAATCGATACAGCTTTACAATTTTATCGATTGACTCTTCTCAAATGACTAAGTGTAAATATTATTATTATTGTTTCCTTTAATTCCTAGAGGAACATAGGGCTTCAGCCAAACTTCTCTATTGCGTCCGGTTCTCTGCCACTGTTTTCACCTGGCTCCACGTCTGGCCACATCCTTTCATCTGCTCTTTACATCACCTCCTCCTCCACGTCACCCTCGCATTGATGACCAACTCGCCACTCCCCATTCGGGTTCCACTCGAGTGATGGCCTGCCGTATGATGTCACTTGATGGTTTATTTTCTCAGAGTATGGCCAATCCACCTTCATTACTTCCCGCATATTTGCTGCACAATCGGTTCCTGGTTGGTTCGCTCTCAGAGATCCCTCCTTGTTGCTGATCTTTTCTGGCCACCTGAGCTTGAGTAGTATTGAGCGAAGACAGCTGATGATGAAGGTCTGTAGTTTGTTTGAGGTGTTCTTCATGACGCATAGTAAGTAGCACTGACTTCACATTGGAGTGGAAAATCCGGAACTTATTTTTATCATGCTGAGTGCTGTTGATCTCCACACAGACTTGAGAGTAATGAAAGCTTGCCTTGCTTTCCTTATGCTCGCTTTGATATTCTCGTCAGTTTCGTCGGCCTGTATTGAAAACGATGCTTCCAAGGTCGGTAGATAAAGGAGGTTGCTTCATTCAGATTTCTCCCATTCACGCTGGCTGATTGTTGTTTGTTGCTGTTGCTGCTGGCCAGGTATCTTTACCACCCCTGTTTTCTCTATTTTTACTTGGAGTCCTATCTTTGATGCTTCTTCTGCCAACTTGTTGCTTTTCACTTGCATATCTCCAGTTTGTGGGAAATCAGACATATATCGGCGGCGAAGTCCAGATGCTCCAAGTTTTTTTGTGTTGGTCCATTTTATGCTTGTTTCCTCACTATCTGTCACATTATCCAGTCTGCTGCAATCAAGAAAATAATTTGAGATACTAGGCAGCCCTAGCCAGCTTGTCTTACTTCCGTCTTCACTTCTTCGAAGGATTCCGTGAGTTTCCCGTTATGGATTACTTGGCAAGCAGCATTATCGTACAACTGTTGGATGCGGTGTATAATTGTTGGCAGCACCCAGTAGTAGCGAAGTAGTTGCCAAATCAGCTCTAAATACTACCTAACGATAATTCTTCTATTCCTTTTACATTCACTGCTCATCTGTTATCATGATCTCTACAAAGTTTCATTAGTTTACGTATAAACTGCTTTTACTGTTCATTTTGATACAAACCAACTAGATGAAGTCTTCTACATCAGGCAATTCACACAAGAACGCTGCTCAAACTCGATCACTTTGAAAATCTACACATGTAACTGTTACAGGTATTTTCACAAACTACAATTATTGTGAGCATTCTATGAAAAAAAATCGAAGTACTCAGAAACTCATCAAGTATAAAAAGTAGTATAAATTCATAGAAATGTTACAATGCAAAAAGCATAACTGGAAGCAAAGATAAGCCAATACTGAAATACACCACACACCCACTTTCTAGTGCAAACAAGTGTTAAGTAAGCACATACTTACAAGAATAATATCATTGAATTGATCAGCATCTAAAAATATTACCGACCGATTAAATACATCCGCAGCATGTGAAGCCGTTAACATTTTAAATTTCATTTTTAATTCCCCATTATAAATAATCACTAAAAGTTTTGGATTTAATTGTATTATATCGGAATCTTGAAAATTGTCCCATAGAATGGACACAGAAATCGGTGGCATTGGCAATAAACCAGAGAGATCAAGTCCATTGTTGGAAGAAGAAGGAGACACTAAATTGACCAGTTTCAATTTTGTCTGAAATCAAAAATTAAAAAAGAAAAGTAAATCAAGCAAAATATAAAGGAATAAATGTAGGTGTGAGTGGTATTAAAAACTTTAAACTATTTACAACAACTGCATGACTTTGAGATGTTACTTACTGTATAGGGTATTTACTTTTTTTTAAATAACATCTCTCAAAAGAATGGACTCAGTCTCAGAAACCACCGCCTGGTAATGATGTAATTCCTTACACATCGTGTCTTTTACGCCAGAGTATAAACTTGCACCAGTTTGCTTTAAATAACTTACTTATTTTTCCCTACAACACAAGTTAGGTAATTCACTACTTTTTCCAGCTCTTAAAATTGATGTATTTTTCGCCTATGAGTGGGCACAATGTTACGGAAGTATACACAAAAACAGTAATACACTATAGCTTTTTAATATTAGAACAAGACATAAGCGAACAATATCGTTGTTTTCAAATAGATCTTCTTCAGGCTTTACTCTAATTTACATAGATTTATATATTAAACATTTTAACCAATGACGGTGATTTTGTGGATCAAATAATGGTAAATGTTTTGAACTTAGTTAATAACGATGATTATATTGATAACAAAATATTGACAATAAGGTTTATGCAGGTGACGATAAGAATAACAAAAGTAGTAACATGTGTATATGTGGACAATTCAATAAATAAATAAATTAGGTCAAATCTTAAAAGTTACGTAATACTAAAGGTGAAGTGGACAGATAATCAGAGTTTAAATAAATATCATAAAAGTACGAAGGAGATGGAAAATAAGAAAGGATGGGAGGGTTTTGATTAGAATTTACCCAGGCGAAGCAAGGGAGAGACAAAGGTAGAACAAACTTCTTTTCGATGCAAAGACTAGGATTGTTCTCTCGAATTCCCATAGCTTCGGCTATGTGTAGAAGACGGGTTCGAAAGGCTCGATGGAATAAGATAGATAACTTTGAAGGCACTATTTTATCATTTTATTATCAATATTTTGTTATCATTACAATCAAAACATTTACCACACTATTATTATTATTATTTGATCCACAAAATCACCGTCATTGGTTAAAATTTTTATATATAAATCTATGTAAATAAGAGTAAAGCCTGAAAAGATCTAATTGAAAACAACGATATTGTTCGCTTATACGTCTTGTTCTACTATAACTTTTCACAATTATTATTAAAGAGGCTAAGGCTTCTAAATAGTAAAGGAATGCTGAAATAACACCATTACTTTCTTAATCTAAGACAGGACTAATAATGAAATACTGAGCATATTAGATGAGAACTTTTTAATACGATATATAAACTGTTTAGATCTGTAAGCCTGTATAAACTATAATGTATCTTGTATAATATATGTAACAACACAAATTCGACAGAAGCGAAAAATATCCGTTAGAAACGATTCCAAATTATGATACTGTTTGAAAACAACATGTTACAACACTGTAATGCTTATAGAGATTGGCGTAACACTGAATTAGTAGCTAAGGATCATACGTTACACAGTTCAAAATCAATGTCAACGAACAGGTTTCATAAGATAAATATTCAGCGACAACAGCGAATATAGCCAAATTCTACAAATCCCAAGTAGGCTCTTGTATATACAGTTAATCCTACTAAAAATGACAGATGATGACTGAGAACTAACATACTTCATTACTTCTTTTAACCAACTTTGACAGAATGGTTTCCCAGTAAACCCTTTGACCGGCTATCTCAAAAAATTTGTCAAGTTTAATCAGAGTAGCCTAGTGATACTTTTTATGTTGATCGACGAATGAATACATTTCAATATCCCAGTGTAGTAGCGTACATTTACTAAATAACTTCAACTTATGCTGTTAGCTCACAATCACAAATGATCACTCCGCACACGACTGATAACGAAACAACTCACCATATGAAATCATTTCATAAGACAACTTTTAGTGAATACATCTGAATGTTAAGAATGGGACACAAAACGAGAACAACTGACTTATTCAAAACGATAAGAACTGCAGATGACAAAGGCATAGACAACATTAAACACAAAAATAGTATACGTGAAAATGATTGGTTTGTTTCGACAGAAGTAAGAATTAGAGAATTTTGCAGATAAAATACAGAAATCCGTCTTGTAAAAAGGGGAAAATATCACAATCATGACACAGAGATTGCGATACCGGAAACAGTGACTGCTTTTTTAATGCAGATAAGCAAAGCTTATGAACTGCTCTACAACACAAATTCCTGCAATTCAGTCCAACAACAAGAACGTACCTCAATTATTCGCTAAGTGTTAAAATCTCATAAAATCAAACTAGCATCATGTATTACCTAAAACAAAGGTATGGCTACAACCTCTCAGGTAGAAACTATTTGACCAGGAAGAAAGTATAATCCTTTTATTGATAACTACAAGCGGTCGCCTTAATGAAGGTATTTCGACTAAATTTAAAACATCATTGTAAACAAAAACTTAATAGGCTCGTTATACACGGTAAATAAGGCGAAAAACAATTTTACTACTGTCTGTATCATTTTAAAAAGGTATGCGAATTTATTACTTACCGTCTGTAAGAAAGGATCTAATCGACTTGTTTTCGACAAATAAATGCAGCGATAATCTGACACACTACCATTTTTGTATGCTTTCAAGACAACGATCGACTGTAAAGACAAATTTCCAATACAACACAAAATATACCAGTACAGTTAGTGATGTGGATACAATCAAATTAAAAGTCTTAACAGTAAAAAACAATAATAAATTTCAGCAAATATCAGCACGTTAAGAAAGTAGGCAACGACATATCGCAAACTTTGTAGGCAGAGCTGGGTTGGATGCATAAGCTAATGAGCTACAGTAGCTTAAATACAATATTAAGAGGTGAATCGCGAATCAGTTATACTTTTGCTAAACTGTATAAACTTATAAATCATTTAGAATTAGAGGCGATTTCCACAATAAGACTTTCTAAACTATTGAAAATAAAAAAATCTAGCCACGATAAATAGACCAGCACAGTGAATCTCTAAAGCAACCGCAGCCAACAGTGGTGGAAATGACTGATTTATGTTAACTTGCCCGAAACAACGAGATAAACCTAGTTTATACTAAAGGCGCCATCCCAGTGGTAGTAGGAGGTTCAGTAAGAGCGCTAATCCACTCAGCATTCGACTTATCGGTATATGCAGATCAGCATCAACGTGAAAATTTGCCCCTGAGCAACGAAGCAGGTATACTGAATGAAGACCGATGACGTTACAAGGTTTTTTCGAATTTTGATAAATGACACGTTCTTTTAAACCCAACAACGCAATGAAAACGCACTACATTGGCTAATTCGGTTAGTCACGCGCTTTAACACTTAAAAATCTTTCCGACAACGAAATAACACGAAAAGTTAGAAACAAGACGTGTACTATCACCATTAAAGTACTAGTATCAAACGTTTTAAACAAAAGTCGAATATGTAAGAATTATGTTTATATAAATCCAAGAGAAATAGAAATAAATAAATGCAACATTTCGTTACGCAAAGAGGTCTGAACTTCTTCAGGGAAATAATCAAAATTAAAATAATAAAGGTACATACGAAAAAGAATACATCTTTTCTTTAATATACTTGTCTAATGATATCTCAGTCATGAAGAAGTTCCGACCAGTTTGCCAAACGAATTCTTGGAATTTATTTCGACTTCGCTGTCTGTCTGGATTCAACATAGAACTTGGCACCGAAGTGCAGCAGTTCGAGTTGCCACATTCCAAATAGCACACAGAGATAGACAAGAAGATGAGTGAAGAGAATCAATAGAGTTTGACAAGTATAAGAGTGAAACAGAATAGGTAATGGTAGAAGGGAATATGAAAGATTACAGAGACTGAATACATCTGCGCCATTGACAACGATTTTGAGCCATATCACCTATTGTCTCCAGCCATTGATTCCTAGAGTCAGTCCCGAGGGCCCCAACCCGGAAGTCTGCATCTCCCTACCTGACTCAGTTAAACTGTCAAGGATTTCATGGATTGATGAGGCCATGTTTTTGTTTGGCCACCACTTACTCCTTTCCAACCTGCACGCACCTATATCAGCTAGCTAGTAATGCCCGTCGGGGGAGGCGATGGTGAGGCATGTGCAGCACGTCACCTAGCCATCTCGATCTATGTAACTTTATAGCCTCGTCGATTGATTTTCCCTCTTTGCCCAACACTCTATGCCTAACGTCAACATAACTTACCTTACTATACCACCTAACGTGAGAAAGAGATCGCAGACATATATGATCGAAAGCAGTCAACCTTTTCAGGTCGACTTCGCTGAGATTTATACAAATATAGTTTTCGCATACGTCTGCTTTCAACTAAGTGCCCTTATTATTGTGGAACTATCCGATCAAATCTTGATCAGAATTCGTATAAAATTAAATCGCCTCATAAAATAGTTGATATTGCCAAAGACACCGGATCTTATACCATCACTTGGCGGAAACTTGTCAAATGCTTTGTAGATATTGTCCTAATTTTTGAGCAATCTTATATGATACAAACAGAATTGTACATCTGCATCAAGAGCGCATTAATTTAAGCTCGTAAATTTGGTAACAATGTAAACAGTTAACATTGAGATGCTGACTTACGTCAGGAGGAAAGGGCTAGTAATAAACAGTCATTGGCGCGAAGTGTAGAGAGTCTTGTCTAAAAGGGAAGGCATCTTCCATTAACATTAGCCGCCACAAGCAGCGGTAATTTCCTGTCTTATTCATTGTTTCTTTTATTTTTATGTCAAGCCTTTTTGGATAAATTGTATTTTACCACTTTCCTCTGTACAAACGAACAGTATTATTTCGCCATAAGACGGAGGATAAAACCACTTTTGAACCTGGGCATCATTCGGAGACTTAACACTGAAATAAAGTTGCAGTCATTATACAAATTCGCCCAACTTTAAACACGATGAAGAATAAGTGAAAATACCTAGTGTCGTGCTTCAAGTTCACATAGTCAATTCAGTATTTTACTATACAGCTGAAATATATATTCTGGAATTAGGACGATGTATGTGAAAATGTAGTTTTTACAAATCGAATAGGGTTTACACTACTACCCCTTGTTTTCACACTACAAACCAAGTCCTGAAATCCCAAGTGCAGATTCACCTAGGTCACTGGTCTGCAATGACATCTGTGACAAAACGCACATATCTAATCCGAAAGCGGATAAACAACCTAGAAAAACATGAGCTTGAATTAAGCATACGGGACGAGCTAGGGCTAAAAACTAATGAGCCAATTCGGATGACTATGTGCGATAATGCCACATATTTTTGGTTTCATCCAGCTATATTCCTTCGTGTGACTGAAACGTGGAACATGATATACATGACAATCTTATATAATGAGGATATAATCATCTCATTTCTCCAGGATCCATCTTACAATCTTGCGAAACAATCATAAAATTGATTCATAAAGAAATGTATCTGCTTACGCGTTGGAAACTGCATATTTGATGGAAACAACACGCGAAAACTAGGAGGAACACAACGACCTTCATTTTAAATCACCCTCGGAAAACTACCGAAATGGGCGTAGCTTGGATAAAGCATTTTCCGCACTAAAAGGCAATATATTAGCGCTAATATAATTTTTCACCTTACTATAATTATAAAACCCATTCACTAGAATATTTACGCTCTTCCATCTTTGTAAATATGCCTGTGCCATAATGAACTAGGTGGATTGATAGCTTATAGTGAAGAACTGATTTGAACAACTACAGTTCACTTCAAAACAACCTCATACCGCTCCAAAATTTAGTGTTCTTCTCTCTAGGCCTAGGTTAATTAACGTTTTACTGAATTTCGGGTAGATATAAACTATTTACTAATCAGATACCTACCATAGTAAAATGCAGTATAATTGGATTCGGACTATAAAGGTAGATGGCTCTTGTTGCCTATGTTAATCTCCGCGATAGATATCTCTGCAGAGATCCAGTTTCTTTTTGAAAGCGTTCACCGGTGGAGATGTTACTAATGAATCAGAAAAGGAGTCCCAGTCGTTGGCCACTTTGTGAGAGAATCTGAACTCCACGAGTATTTTATTCGACCTCGGTGTGAGCACCTCCTTGCGATGACCTCGTAAATGCATCCTAGAAGGGGAGAAAAGTTTAGAAAGGTCAATCCTTGAATAACCCTTGAATATACAGCAAGTAAAAATTAGGTCGCCTCTCCTCTTTCGGTATGCTAATGGGAAGAGATTTAAATGCTCCATCCTATTATCATAAGGAAGGTGTGAGATGCCACTAACTAATTTTGTTCCTACTCTCTGTACTCTTTCTAGGATATGTGCATTTTTTGAAGCATGGACTCGCCGCTTGTATGCAGTACACTAGATGAGGTCTGACATGTTGCATAGAGTACTTGGAGCATACCCTCGTCTAATCGCTTGAAAGCCCTTCGAAGTGCCCAAATCATTCAAAAAGCCTTAGCTGCGGCTCAACCACAGTTTTCCGTTGTTTTTGAAGTCATGGCTTACAATAATTCCTAAGTCCTTTTGTCAGTGAATTCGAAGATTGAACGATCAATTCATGGTTGTTTGCTTGAACCAAACTCCTTCATATTTTTCGCGGGCGTCATCGATAGTGCAGTCATCGGTTCATCGTTCGATGTTCGTTGGAGGACAAAGAAAAACTATCAAAAGTATTAAGTGTACCGCAGTCAATATTTGACAGAGTAGTTCTAAAATATTTAGGCGCTGAGTGAGAAGTAGACATTTGCAAAAAATTATATTTGTAAAATCTCAGCGATATTGAAATAAGTAATTCCAACTTTTCGTTCGGCAATCTGGTCCGAAGCTTCAGTGATACTAGAAGGATGCAGTTCTGAGAATGACAGTCTGTGTCACCCAAGTATCCTGCCTAAATCCATGGAAAAACACTACAACAGACCGGTTGCATCGGAATCGACCAACTAGTCCTAACATTAAGTCCCCCACCAGCGGACAGCTTCACGTTGACTACCCCGCAACACGCTGAGGTTGTTAGACTCACTGTCAGCTGCCTATATAGCAATGTGAGGGGGCTGAGAGGAAAAGTAGGTGAACCCCGAAATCTCCAAGCATACCTACAACTCAAAATGATCATTCTCACCGAAACGCGGCTAAACATCGCTATCGCCGACAATGAAATCAGTGTAGGTGATATGGTCCTGGTCAAGAGAGACAGGGATAATAGGGAAACAGGAGAGTTGCTATATACTTAAAGCAACTTAAATGTGTGCGCGCAACGGACCCACCACTTATAAAACTCCCAGACTCCATATGGTTTCATTTCACCGTAGGCCACACCAAGTATTTACTAGGTGGCATCTACCGATCTCCCACTTGTGGGCCAGAGCACAATCAGCTACTGCTCAGCGCTATCACAGGGATACGAGACTTGGGCAGTGACCGAATCATCATAGCTGAAGATTTCAATGCCCCATCACTGAAGCTTGGCTAGGGATATGCTAACGGAAAATTTGACCGAAACCTACTGCAAACTATTCGAAACACGGGACTGACTGAGAATGCTGGGAACGACATTAGGTGGGGCCCTAGTGGAAAGTCATCAAAACTAAACTACTGTCAGTCAAGTATGATAAACCGTCAACGTCCAGCTCTTGCTACGCTGGGTCTCACGCTGCCTCTCGAAGATATTCAGAAACGCTCAATATTAACCGACGCAAAAACCAAAACACTGTTTGGCGACTCAAGAATCCTTTATTCTAACGCCAACATATAACCAACAATACTGTTACTACAGGGCAAGGTCTAAGAACAAATGTTACAACAATAAATCACGATATTACTTCTGATAGTTTTTCAATCTTCCTTCTGAACAGCGACCAATGAGACGATGACTGGTGGATTGATGACTCCGCGAAAAACATGAGGAAGTTGGGTTCGAGCAAACAACCATGAAGTGATCGTTCAATCTTCAACTACATTGACAAGTACATTTTAACTAGTGACCAACTACTCGTCGAATAGGTTCAGATTATGACTCCTCTAGGAAGTACCGCCCATGCAGTCATGGCTTTCGATCTTGTTCTCTGTGAGCGTTTGCAGTGGGACGTTACGCGACCATCTCTTTGTTACAGCAAGGCTGACTACGCTGAAATGCGGAGGCTCTTGTCCGACGCAGAATGGCCCTTAGCATGGGATGACCTATCTGTGGATGAACACTGGGAAGTGGTAAAAAGATTATTCATATAGCGATCTCGGATACCGTCCCTTTAGTCACAGCACGGCCCAAAAGAAAGTCATCGCGGTTGGAGAGAGGCACGCAACGTATTCTGCAAACAAAGCGGAAGGCTTGGTTTACGTGGAGAGTACTCAGAAGTCAGATCGACCAGGATCCATAGATGGAACTCAGGAACCGGTGCAATGCAGGAGTCAGGAGGGACAGGAGGTAATTACAGGCTAACCTTGCTAAAAAACTCCTAGCAAACCCCAAAATCTTGTACCGATTCATGTTGGAAAGAAGGCCGACAAACCAGGGGGCATGCGCCTTAATAGGACCAAACGGTCAATATCTCACTGGTCTGGAGATGGCTGAAACATTCAGTTTAGCCTTCGCCAGACAGCCAAACAGCAATGTGGGCATTGCGGTTACGGACCAAAATGGTGGCACTACTATTTCTCAGGAGGAAAACCTAGTGGATAATCCCCAAATAAATCCCCCAAAAGCACTAAGGGAGCTACAGTGACTCATACCTGGGAAGTCCCCAGCTTGTGACGACATCAGATCATCTGTTCTGAGAGAGTGCGCCGAAACTCTCTGTAGGCCCTTATGCGACTTGTTTCGACACTCAATGGAATCGGAGAGACTGCCAAAGGAGTGGAAAAGAGCCATCCTCTCCTCGAACTTCAAGGGTGGGGATAGGCAAAATGCCACTAGTTACAGACCAGTAGCTCCACTCCCTTTGGTGTCAAAAGTACTGGAAAGTATTATTGACGACCACATCGAGGAATATCTCGGTAGGTCTAATATACTCCATGAAGCCCAACACGGTTTCAGGAAAGGCATATCCTGTGTAACTAACTTGCTATCAGCTTGGGACGATTGGACATCATGCTGGGATATGAATGTTCCAGTCCAAGTGGTCTTCCTAGACCTTGGGAAGGCATTCGACACAGTTCACCATGACCTTCTACACAAAATAAGCTAGGCATGTATAGGTAAGCCACTTCTGTCACGGTTAAAGGACTACCTAGCTGAAAGGCAATTTTGCACTAAGGTCAGTCAAGTCCGACCGTCTTGGCACAGCTCATCATCAGGAGTGTCGCAGGGTTCTATCCTAGGACCACTCATGTTTTTGATTTTAATCAATGATCTACTATGCCGTTTAAGCTGCCCGACACTTCTATACGCTGGCGACGTAAAGGTATGGAGGGCGGTAAAGTGTCTGGAGGACTCAGATAGGCTGCAGGAAGATCTAAACCTTCTGGAAGACTGGGCGGTGGTCAGTGGAATGACTTTCAACCTGAAAAAGGGCAAAGTAGTGAAGTTACGCACCCATAGACCGCAGAAAGCAAGTTACACCCTGTGCAATGAAAGCTTACCCTGCACAACATCGAAACGCAACTTAGGTTTAGTTATAACGCAAAAAATTGACACAAGCGTAAATTACACGGGGAATGTAGCGAGGGCATATGCGGTCATACATTTTACACATAGACAGGTGCACTCACTCCTGAGCTCTTTCTGAGGTTGTACAAAACATACGTCAGACCACACCTTGAAGTGCATAATATTATTGCACCCCCAATGCTTAGAAGGGACGCCAATTTCTTGCAACGAGACCAACGACGGTCAACAAAAGGAGTGGCTGGTCTCCGAAATAAACCATATGATGAAAGGCTGAAGAAATTAGGCCTATTCACACTTAGCCACCGTCGTCTTAGGGGGGATTTAATTACTGCCTACAAAATAACAAATTACCAGAATCACCCAAACAAAGGTGTTCCGCCATTGAGTAGGTTTAGGCTCCCTCGTGGAAATCCCAGAAGGATAGCTCACCAGAGGGCAAATACCCGGGTGCGCTCCCACTTCTTTTCACTGCGGGTTTGCCGTCCCTGGAATTCCTTACGGGTAGATGTAGCTATGGCATCGTCTGTGGATGCCCTCAAGCGAAGGCTGGACAACCATGGAGTGACACAAGGACTGCATACAAACAGCCTATCTCCTTAAAGTCGCATACACCATTCAGGGGTAGACTATTAAACTTGTCGTTTTACTTCTTTACATCCTCTCCCTTCTCACTCTCCTGACAACTTTGACTACACCTATTATAATCATTATTACCGATATATATTATTCATATTATTCCTCAAATTTAACCAGCTGACCGTTGTTACGTTTTCTTATTTCTTTTTCTGTCTGTTAGTCTGAATAACTTCACTAACTATATCTATTATTATCTCTTTTTTTTAGACGACGATACTGGAGGACTAACTGGTGAAAGGATCAACTGCATTCACAATAGTAACAGTCTTAACACACCTCATACT